ATAGCAGTGAGAATAAATTATTAAATTTTCTTTATTGCATTAGTTAGATCTTTGGTCTCATACTTGAGGGAGGACTAAATACATTTGCATCTTTTTTTTCTTTCTGGATGCGCTGTGATGAAACATTATTTTTCTTCAAGGTTTTTTCAACTAAAGCAGCCTAGGGTAGACTTTATGGAAAGGTTGCAAAGACCATACTTACCTGTGTTTATTCATGTTGAGCAGTATCCAAGCCTGATTAATTCCAACTCGTAAAACTAGTTTCAATTCAGTCGCGATAGGAAAATTGGAATTAAACTTATAAAGTTGAAATAGCCAATGTTGTTTTAGAACTAGCAGTAGGGTGTTGACAGCTATAAAGATGTTTGATAAAGATGTTTGAAAAATGCTATAGTTAATGTTTCCATACTTATCTGCTTTACAGTGTGGTCCATTCTCTCATTTTCACTAGTGAATTATTTTTGCTTTGTAGTTCATAAATTAGTAGGGAGACAAAGCTGTAAAAAATATTGCTTTAATGCTTGACATCTCAGCATGCTCTTAAAAGAACACTAAAATGTCAGCTGATTTGCCAGCTATTAACATACAACTGCAGATTTCCATTAACACATTGAACTAGATCTGCAACAGCAGCTAAAAGTCCCCTTTGAAAGAAGAAAGAAAAAATTCAGAGAGGGTCATTGCCTAAACACAGGAACTAAATTAACTGGAACAAAAGAAAATTCAGAGCTTCTTCCAGAAAGCTTACTACACTGCTACACTTCATTCTTAAAGGATAAGTCTTAAACCCAGATATTTCTTGGTTGCTTGGTGTTTTCTCTATTTTTGTTTTGACACGTATTCTTGCACAAATGATCAGCCTGTAGGGAAGGAACATTTCTTTTGTATAGAGAGTAACAAATGTTAAGAGGCACTGGAGCAGGGCAGTGGTAGTAGCACTGGGCCTCCTGGAGTTCAAAAGTGTTTGAACTCTGCTCTCAGACATGGGCTTGATTTTTAGGTGGTCCTGTGTGGAGCCGGGAGTTTGACTTGATGATCCTTCAAGGTTTTAATTCACTAACCATTTCAGATCAACACTAAGGGTACAGATTGGTCCTTTGCTTCTGTATTCTGGACCTCCCAAGAAAGCACTTTACTCAGAGCGCTTAACAGACTTACTGGGCTGCACAAAGCAGGCACTTACCAAGTGCTACAGTAGCACCAATTGCACAATTCTGCTGCCACTGTGCATCACAAATACCTGTCCTTTTCCTCACTCCATGCAGCCTTATGTGTTTTACTCAGCTTGGTGGGAGTAATGGAGATGTTCACACTAGTCCAGTATTGAAGTTGCATGAGCATACAGTGCAGCTTACAGCTTATGGATACAGGCTTTATAGCAGCTCAGAAACATCACATGCCATTTGGTAACTTGAGTCTCCTTGCAACATCTGACTGAGAATGACACATTTAACTGGAAGATCAGCGCACTGAAGAAGCTTGGTCAGTTGACCAGCAAAGACTAATTTCTCCTGTTGGAAAGGTCCTTCAATTCAGTAACAGAAGAAAGGGAATGTGCATGAGAATGGAACATGAAAGGGCATTTCAGGGACACGAGAAACATGAGGAACAGGGTGGCTGGAAGTATGATGCTATGGAGGGAAAGGTGGTTATTTTCCCAGGAAATGAAGAGCTGCAGCAGAGGCATTGACATCTGAAGTGACCAAACTAGTCATCCTGGTGGTCTACTTGAATGAAATCATGATAGAGATATTTTGTTATCTGAATTTGCTCATAACTTACTACTTGTTGTCAAAGAGAAATATATGCACAGAAGGAAAGGAGTTGTAAAAGATTTTTTTCTGAAAGCTGTCTGGGAGGTAAAACGAAGAAGACAATGGACCAAGGAATCTCCATAAACCTGCTTCTACTTCATGAATTAAAGCTTTGAATTCAATCTTCAGTTACAGGGAGACTCCAATCTCCATTTAAATGATTATTTCTGTCTTACATAATTCAGTGCTAGCCTTTGGATGTTTGCACTCCTATGTACATATGTGTACTCTGGCAGTAAGCCATAGTCACTCATTCACAGTGATGGGAGTCAGAATTCTCCTTTACGTGCACTCCATCTAGTCAATGAGACAAAGGTCCTGAGGAAAATAAGAAGGTTTGTGATCATACCAGCAAAATTTGAAGTACATTATATATGAAAGAGTTGAGCTGTTATTTCATATGCAGCTTTCAGTCTTGCATTTCATACTTCTGTACATTCAGACATTGCTTTGTTATTTTGATAATAGGTGTCCTTTTTTTTTTCTTCTTTTTTCTTTTTTTTTTTCCAAAGAAGTGCTATAAAGAAACCCCTTATTTTACATGCAACTCTAATGAAGTGTCTTCCCCTTGATTCTTCAGCAGCCTTGCCCAGCTAGACTTCGGCTCTGTGTAGATTCACTGATATCAAGGCTCTTCACTTATTTGAATGAAGGAAAATATCAGTGAAGAAACAAGGACAAACTGTAGAGTTGTCAGGACATTATCAGAGAAAGTCCAAGGAGGTAGACTCTTCCTGGTCGCTGAACCTGATTCATTGCTCAAGTTTGTCCTTACATTAGATTTTTCTTGTTCCTACACTGTTTTGTCAAGATAACAGCTGCTAAAAGACAACTCCAGAAATCTGTCTGCTAAGCCTAAGTAAAAGGCTTTTTTTTACTGATAGTGTTTCCTCTAGGTGAACTGTAATAGACTGTCATAAAGAAAAAGGTTTCAGATTTTTTGAGGAAGGTTCACAACAATCACAGAAAACATTAAAAAATTAAGTGTAGTATATAAAAAATAGAAGTTACTTTCAGATTTAGCTAAAAGTCATGAGGTGATCATGTCTTTATGTTCACTTTTTGAACCGTTCCTCTGTCCGCCAAATAAACTTACTGCTTAGTGAGTCTGCTCATTCCACATTTTGTACATGTTGAATAAGCTCTAGAGAATCCCTCTAGTTGATGATAATTGTTTTTCCTTTTCAGGAAAAGGGTGTCTTTCTCTGCCAAAGAACTAGAAGGAAAAAAACATTATTTTGTCATTGCCTTCTGATATTTTTCCACACTTCTAACTAAGAAGAGAAGGGAAACCCTCTGTGAATGCAGTAGATCCAGTGCTTTTTGAAAGCATCATGGGGATTATTCAGTATCTTGATAGCACTGAGATGTCTGCAAATGTCTGGAACTTCTCTTGCTGTGTTAAGGGACATTAGGATCATGGCTGCCATCTCCAGCACCTCTGGTTCATGGACTTCTGCCTGACTTGCTGGACCTGTAGAGTCCAGACTGGTGCTTGGGATCTCTGGACTTGGAGGACATGGCTGCCATTTTCCTACTTGCATGTTCATTCAGTATGCAGCAAAACTGAGCACACGTCCCAGAGACATGCAGACAAGGCTGATCATACAAACAGCTGCAGACAAGGTGCTGCCTTCAACAGCATCCACCCGTGGGATCCATTCTTCAGGCTGACGCATGCACGTTTGTGGGTCCCTTGAGTACTGGCAGGTGCCCACTGTCCACCCAGATCCCAGACTCCTTACCTACTTCATGAATCACCTACTCACAGGCTGAGCTTGAAGCTTGCTGCAACAAGATGGTGGCTATGTTGACAAATAGTGTTTTATAGCTGAGAATTTGCTGTATCAAATAGTGTCATTGTGCTCTTTGTATCTGTTTCCATGCAAGCTACAATGGGAGCCATTACTTGTGGAGCAATTTACATATACATCTCATGCACACTGAGTTAAGTTACAGACACTCAGCCCCTTAGTAGCTGGCACCTGGGCTGGGTTCTACTGCCCAGCTCCAGCCACTGATGTGGAGCCTGCCCTTGTCTCAAGCTGGTGCCTCCCTAGAACTGATTTTTAGGACTGGCATCACTCCTGCTGCTGGTGGTGAGAGAGGCCTAGCTGGGGTGGAAACCCTGCCTGCTTTAGGAGCTGATGCTAAGAGCATCCCTATATTTGTGGTGAAATGTGATAATACACAGATAAACAGTTAAGAAAAAATTTAATAATAAGACAGGATAGACTGCAGTGACTACCTGCAGGGCTCAGTCAGCCAAGTGTATTGACCAGGCCCCATTTTTCATGACTGTTTTTTATCCTTTTCCATCTTTTCCTCCCTGTTCCTCCCCATTTATTAACCCTGCACTGTCCATCATTGGCGTATACAGTTCCGCAAACCCCCAACTCCCTGAGCCCCCAGGTTTGCATCCTTATCAGTTGCAAAGCCCTGTTTGCATGCATTTTCTTGATTGCCTTCCAGTTAGTGTCAGACAAATGTTTATCTCCTAGTTTTCTCCATGACATTTGCCTGTCAGACTTGTGTCCATATGTTTATTGCTTCCTCTTTCTTTTACTAACTCTTTTTAAAATGAAGAAGTCATTCACTTCTTTGACATTGACCCTTTAAGGAGCATTCTCCTTCTGCACGGACTTAGGGGTTGCATTTAGAGATGCCATAGCAGAGAGTAACTATGAAGTCCTTGTGAAAACAGCCTCTCAAGGTCACATGGCAGAACAAAGAATGAGTTAGCTTCTTCCTGCCTCTAACACTGAGAAGTTCAAAATTTTTTTTTTTTTTTTTTTTTTTCTGGTCAAATAGCTTTCCTTAGCAATGAGAAGTGGAGTTAGCCCATTAATTACGAAATACCCTCCAGATCCTAGCTTTAACAGTAGGACTTAACGGTACAGTCATTAAAAGCAGAGAAGCATTTCTAGAAGTAAGTGGGAATCTTCAGTGTCTCAGTAAGTTTAATGAGCGTGGGAAGAAAACATAGATTCCAATGAACTGTACATTATGAGCCATGTTAAATTCAAGCTAAGGTTTTCAGCAGTGCCACTGTGTTACTGTGAGTCCTTTCAGGAGGGGGCACAATAACTGCCTACTCACCTACACTCCTTTATTCATGATATGCTGTATTTTTTATTTATTTTTTTCTTTTTTCACATTTGTCACATATGTACTTCTTTTTTTCAGGTCAAAAGGTGTGCTATGGTGGCTTCAAGCGTTCCTGCTACAAGATAGCTTATTTCCAGGACTTATCTAGACGCGTGGGCTTTCAGGAGGCCCGCCAAGCTTGTGAAATGGATGGCGGGGCTTTACTGAGCTTGGAAAGTGAAGCTGAGCAGCAACTAATAGAAAACATGTTACAGAACCTCACTAAGTCAGGCTCTGGGATTTCTGATGGTGATTTCTGGATTGGATTGTGGAGAAGTGGTGATGGACTGACCACCTCCAGTGCTTGCCCTGACCTCTACCATTGGGCTGATGGAAGTATGTCACCCTTCAGGTAAGTCTCTAAAGCTGCTTATTGAGCAGGTATAATGGAAACAAATGAAGAGTGAAATATCTGGTTAAAAAAAAAAATCATAGAATTGTAAAATCACAGAAGGGGTTGGGTTGGAAGGGACCCACTTGCTGCCCTATGAAGTTAATAGCATAACTCCTTAACTTCTCCAGCCAAGGGAGAGCTGGCAGCCAGGGTTTTGAATTTTAATCTGTGAAGGGATGGCATAGGAGATGGCAGCCTACAATTTTCTTTGCTTCCATTTCAAATAAATTCTGCAAGACTGGCCACCACAAGTCAGGCGGCTAGCCAGCAAATAAATTAATGCAGGTTGCTTAATGCAAACTGTTCTGTTTCTACACTGTCTTTTGAAAAAGCTTTAATTTCATGATTAAGCATAAGGCCAGAAAAACAGCAGCTCACAGGTCTCAGGACAAAGGGGATCTGTTAAGAGTCAAATAGGAATGAAAAAGAGTAAAAGAGCAGTGTTATTTCTAACAGAACGTTATTTATACAGAGATGGTTTTGATCAGAACTTTAAGATCCAGAAATTTGCAGTCCAGGTTTTAAATGCCTTTTATAGAGGTGTTGTGGGAAATGCTGTTAATCATTGAAGAAGATGAAGTCACTTTTTTTAATTGATATTAACTGTTCTCCTTGATATTCTGATTAATTTTATTGTCAAAATTTGAAAGTTTTTATTTATTTATTGCTAGAAATTGGTATACAGATGAGCCTTCCTGTGGAAGTGAAGCCTGTGTTGTCATGTATCATCAACCAACTGCAAACCCTGGTCTGGGAGGGCCATATCTTTATCAATGGAATGATGATAGATGCAACATGAAGCACAATTTTATCTGCAAGTATGGCCCAGGTAGGTGAAATTAAGTCATCTTTCACAGATGGGGTGCTTCCTTAGAAAATCAATTGCCTCTTGTTTTGTGAAGGAAGCTGCAAATGTTTTCTGGCCGCACTATTAGACTTGCCAATGTTACCGATTCCTTTGGAGAGTGAGTGACAGAGCTGACATTAATTGGAGTTGCAATTTATCAAGGCTAGTCGTGTTTTAAGTAAAACTATCTGTGTTAAAGAAGAATGTTTTTTCAAGATTCACTATCTTTCCTTCTCAGGATTACACTGATTTAATTTATTTACTAGTTTACTCTTCAAAAAATTATTCTAAATGGCCATTTTTTCCTTTCCCTACTTGCTCTCATATAGGATGGTCAAACCATCTCTTGATCTTACCACAAAAATTTAAGCCGTTTTTGCAGTTTCATACCTCTGAAATTCTGTATCAACTTATATATGATAATTATTTCTAACAGTATTATTTTAATGAAAGAAAGAACAGTAGGAAAAAAAGTCTTCATCTGCAGATGGTGGCAGAAAAAACCCAAGTCTTACGCGATGTACTTCAGGCATGATATAGGTTCAGCAGAGGAAATGTGAACTATGAACTAGAATACTGTGCAATCAATAAAAAGACATGAGAAGTAAACTTTGAAGTTGAACCTGTAACAGGTTTTGCTTTTGATGGTACCTGCAGAAACAAACCATGTTTTTCAGCAGGATCATGCACATTTCTTCAAATAATATATAGTGTTTTTGCTTTTCAAAAACTAAGCTCCAAGTCAGAATTAATATAAAATCCTACTTTTACCAGCTATTTAACCCACCAAATTCTGTGTAATTTCCTACCTGCTTTTTCTGTATTCATGATCTAGTAATGATCACAGTCATTGATCCAGGCTATTTTCTTCCACCAGCTTTCATGGATAGACAGTTCTCTCATTGGCTATTGCCATAATGACATTTTTAATGCCAATTAATATTGTAAGTAGATATTAAATACTTGGAAGGCTAGATGTATCCACATATTTCACAACTCTACCCTCCAAAATCTGTTACTGCTTCTAAAATTAGTAATGACTATTGTTGTCTTATGGCGATCAGTGATCATCTCAGTCACATACGTAAGACACATACAGTAAGAAAACTACATATGCTACCTAAAACCCATACGTAAGACTTATGGAAAACCTTACTTTCCTCTCCAAATAGCTCTAATAACTTCAACGTCAGCTATTTACTGCAACACTGCCAGTTTACTAGTAGTATTACAGTGGCACACAAATATTGAATTTCACTTTATTATGTAAATGTATTGTTTTTCACAACATTATCATCTGTTTAGAATATATGGTGTAGGCCAAAATGGAAAGGTTGTAAGTGGCCATGACAAAGTTGTGCCTAATTTTACCAGCAGTAGGTTCAGGGCAGCTCTTCATTAGGCATTCACACTCAAGCATGTTCAAGTCATACATTCATTTTTTAACCATGCTGTTGCAGTGTTTGGTTTGCTTTTAAATGATATTGATCATTTGGTGATCTTGAATTTCATTATAGGTTGATAATAGCAACTGCATTTTTTCCTGTCCGTCTCCTGTGTGTTTGATTATGCTATCACATTAAAAACTCATCTTCTTGTCTACTATCTAGAGTGATCAATTCAATTTTCAGTGGTGTTTTGATATCTTTCTTTACTTATGGCCAAATATGACCTTTTGCTCTAGTAGGTGTTTATGCCCCTTTGATTTCTCTCAGCATTTTGTGATAATGAGGACACTTGGAACTGCAGGCTAGTAGCACTATTATATAGACATATTGACATAACATTAATTATTTTATTCCATCAATCATGCAGATTCCACTCCTATGCTCATCCTTTTGATATGAAATTATTATTTCCGTAATCTTCATAAAATTTTAGCTATAATGGTCACTATAAGTAAACTTGCAAACCTCCGCAGTGCAGCTCAAAGCCATGAATGAATTGCTCCTCTGGTTTCTTACACATTACAAGGAATGTGATACTATCATTTGCCTTTTGGTAATTTCACTTCCCTATGTGTAACATTAGAATTCACTACCTATTACTGTTTTTTTAAGTCTGAAATTCTTTAATTATTATATTTTAAAAATGAATAGATTTAAGTATTAATCAAGAACACTTCCTCTTATATTGCCTTAGTATCATCTATGTAAACGAAACTTTGGATATGTTAAGAGTCTTATTCAGCACAAGAATTAAAAGATCCAGTAATTTTGTAATAATTTAGCAGATGCCATCAAGAATTGGAACTAGAATGAATTGTAACCCTTTTCTCAGGAGAGGAAAATGTATGAAGTAGAAGAAAATTTACTCTAGTTTGCAAATAATCATTGGTAATGCTGCTGAAAAATTAAGCAACTATTGTTTTGGAGGATAAATCTATTTCTGTGATGCTGCATGCAAAATAATGAAAGTATCTGTTTTATTACACACATTCTTTCTTCAACGATTGATTTCAAATATTGATTTAACAGACAATGTCTTAGAAAAAGAATTAGGAGACAGAGCAGAGCCAGATTACGGTAAGAAATTTTGAAACATTTAATTGAATTGCAATAATAATAAATGTGTAATGATAAGAATAACTTACAGGAACCTGCAAAATTACTTAAGTTTATCAGGTATAGGCTAGTACTGGAACATATGAAAGATATATCTTGGAGACTAATAGTGAATATGGCTATCATTCATATACTTCTGGTCATAATTCCTGTTCCAGATGAAATCCCAATTTTGCAACAAAATCCTATTTACAGATTTACTTCTGTCAGTTTAATCCAGAAAAAGTTCTTTTTTCTAATAGAAATTAAAATGTAATTGTGGTTAAATTTTTAAATAGTGTAACAGCTCTATTTTGTGCATGTTGATTTCCTAACAGGTCTGATATTCTTTTTAGGCATTTTTCCAACGGTGCCAGCAGGAAATCCATATGACACAAACAAACCAGAAGATCAGTATCATGTTATAGCTACTGAAACAGGTAATAAGAATGTAATGGTATACTAAAAACATTTAACAGTAGACTCATTTAAATTATTAATAATTTCTGTTATTGTCAGTGAGAAGGACAATCTATTGACTCAGGAGATGCTCTGAAGAATACTTTGAATAACAGCTCAAGAGTTCTACTTTGTCCTGTTTGTAGCTCTGGAAATAAAATATTTCCATGTATCCCCAAATTTTGATCCAAACCTGCAGTTCAGCAGCCATTAAAATCTGCAGTGATGCTGTGACCCCAGTGATCTCTATGAAGATAAAAGATTTCACTAGCTTTCATCCAGCTGTGGAGGATCTCCATCTAGAGCTATGATAGCGTTGGTTCTTTGTCTCCTCTTCTCCTACAAGTAACACAAGGTACATATCTGTTATACCTTATACCCAGGGATCACAAAGAAGGCACTAAGGAATCTTTCCTAACAGATAAGGCACAGAGTTCTCACTTATCTGTTGAATAAGCCCTGTGTCATGCATCTCCCAAGAACCTCATGTTTTAAGGAATGCTAAATGCTGAGTGGGAGCTTGCTGTAGTGCTCTTGGATGCTCACTTAGCAAATTATGTCTTGAACAGAGTCCTGCTGTTCTTGAAGGGTTGTAGCATGGCCTTAATTCAAGGAACTGCACGTCTCCAGGGTGCAACTCAGGTTCTCACACGATACAGCATGGTACTATGGAAAGTTGGCACTCCCTTTCTGCACTTACTGGCTGGATTTGAGCCAGTTTCCTAACTGACTGTTTGCACCTCCAGGGGAATGGACATACTGATGAACTCTATTTTGAAAATGATACAAGTATTTTCTACAAACTGTACAAAGACTAATACAAATAAAGAAACCTAGCCTGAACATTCACATTTATTCTTGCACATACAAATATTTTCAAAAGAGCACAGTGGATAAGAAAGTCTCCATAGTACGTACCTTAGGTGTATACTGTTATAAAACATTGGCATATAGTTACTGAGAAACATACACTTCCTGGAGTCTGTAAGCCCCATGTTCTATTCTAGGCAGATAACAGAGTAATTTTGCTTTTGCAAAATTTGCTCAGGGATCTGCAGGGAAGCACTTTTAGCTTTTATCTGTCTTCATGTTAGCTGAGGACATTTTATGTATGTCTTTCAAGGGGAATTGGGAGAAAGAGCAGGGGTTGTTTCTTTAGTAGTCATGTGCATCTGGAATCCAATATATAGGAGTAACTAACTCAAAAGTTTATATGTATTGCAGAAATAATAGACTAGAAATGTACTCTTTTAAATACTTGAATTTTCAATCACAAGTTTGGAAATCTTGTACCGACATACAATGGAAATATCAAAATTTAAAACCTTAAGGTATGTTTTACATTTCACTGGGGAAACTATTTTATTATTGATTTTATTGACTCACCTTTTCCTAGCTTTTCCTATAGAAGGAATACATAAATATTCTGTGTAAGATAATGTATTTTTGATAGTTTATTCCAGACTTTTACTCACATGGTCAAGAGTATTTCAACATGAGAGGCATTAATGAGAACTTTTTGTCTTGTAGGTATAATTCCAAATCTAATTTATGTCGTAATACCCACTATACCACTACTACTGTTAATACTGGTGGCTTTTGGGACTTGCTGTTTCCAGATGCTTCATAAAAGGTAAAATACACTAATTGAAACTGGTCTAACAATGCAGAATTCATGTTTCCATTGGCAAGCTATTCATACTGAAGGACTGCTTACACCTCCAAGTATGCAAATAAGCATCTTATCATCTATTAAAATCCAAGTAGTTTACAGCTGCTAGAGCTGAACATTCACCTTCAGGCTTTTCCAGAATAAGCTGAAAGAATTCCAGGTCTCTCTAAGCATATTGCCCCTATGACTTCACTTGTTTTGAAGAAGATATCTTTGCTGACCATTTGATCTGCTGAGTCCCTGGCAGCAGTTTTACTTCACATTTTCCATCACAATTTACCTCCTATGTAGTTTCTGGGCTTTAGGGAGTAATAGTGGGACCGTCACTGATACAGGGCAGACTCAAGGACTCACCTCATTTTCTGACCAAAATGTTAGTTTGTTCTGAGAGGGACCAGGAGCTGCTTCAGTGCACGTCCCATAAGATCAAGATGAAACATTGGTGCGGGCAGATTGAAAACAAACAAACAAAAAACTTGTTTTGAGCCACATGTCATTGCTACTTCTTTGTACATCATTTATCTGTCAAAGATGATAAAATGAAGGGATATGCATTGATAGAGATAGGGTCAAACAGCTGTTTCATTATGTAAATAGGAAATATTTCAGCCAATGGAAAAGGATATGTTTTGATTCACACTTTAAATACTTTTTGACATTTCTTCTTTCTCAAAAATATGGTATGCCAAGATATGAAAATATGTGAGTAATTTTTTTCTCAGCTAATCTTTCTGAAACTTTCAAGGACTTTTTTCATTCTGCATTATTTTCACAAAGTGTTAATGTACTCTAGAGAATTTAAACTGAAGTATTTCAGACAGAACAAGGGGAAATGGTTTTAAACTGGAAGAGGGTAGATTTGGAGAGGGTAGACAGACTAGATATCAGGAAGAAATTTTTTATTATGAAGGTGGTATGACACTGCAACAAGTTGCCCAGAGAGTTTATGAATCTCCCTCCATGGAAGCTTTCAAGGCCAGGATGGATGGGGCTTTTAGCAACCTCGTCTAAAGGAAGGTGTCCTTGGCTATAGCAGGGGGGTTGGAACTAGATGATCTTAAGGGTCCCTTTCAACCCAAACCATTCTATGATTCTACTTTTTAATGGATAAAAATTATTTTGGTAAAGTAACAGGAAGAACAATGAACAGATTCACAGGCTCTGTTATCTCTCTTGAAGTGCAGCAACATGGACAAATTTGACATCATAGTTGTAAGAAATTAGAAATAAAAACAAAAAAATCCTCCTAACTTTTTCTTTCTTTCTTTCTTCTTCTCATTTAGTACTTCCTACAAATACATTATTTCAAATGAGAAAACACTCCAAATGTAAAAGTCTGCTTGAATCTGTATTCATGTACACCAATGATCACAGTGATCCTTATTAATAAATATGTCTTCTCGAGAGAAGTGAACATATAGAAAAAGTACTACAAGTTCTGCAATATAAAATAGATTATTACTAAAAATAAAATAGTTAGCAACTCAAAGGAAAAAAAAGAACTTTGTGCGTAACAGTAGGAATCACACGGACAATTTAAATCTGGAACATGTTATATAGTGGACCTGAATTGCTTGCTAAGTGCAATGATAAACATGCTCACATCTTTTCCAGCAGCAATTTCTCACTTTAAGATTAAAAAAAAAAGAAAAAAAAAGGGGTTTAGAAGCTGAAGCTCTCAAATAATCCTAAAAGGACAATGAGAGATTTGTGGCCCACTGATATCAATAGACTGTAGTGTTGACTTCGGTGGGCTTTAATCAGGCCTTTGATGCTATAGAAGTTCATTCAGGAGTAATAAATTTGAACTTTCAAGAATTAAAAATCACATGACAAAGAAGTAGGAAATCCAGCTTGAAAAATAAACAAATGTTTTTTTCCAAATGGGTTTGCACCAAAGTTTTTAAGGACAATAAAATTTTTTTTTCTTTTTTTTTCATTAAAGCACATCTAAATCAGAAGCAAATATTTTAGTATCACCAAAAAATGAAGCAATTTAATTTGTATCAGTTGAAACAAGTCTTTAAAAAAAAGTGTGTATTTTCTTTTTTTTCCCCCACAAATGACTTACCTTGCAAATCATTTTGGTTCATCAAAAATACACAGTTCTTGGGCAAAAGAAAATAAAAGAAGAAGTCAACCACTTAAACTAATCAGTTGGACAGTGTGGAGTTTTAGGAAAGGGACACTATCCTGCTGGGGAAGGAGGGATCCCCAACTTTCCAAATGAACTTGACTTCTCATTCTTTTTTAGGCTTCCACAACATGGTGACCTTTCCTCTGAAAGCCACAATCCATGGCCAACCAGGACATGCCTAGCTTGAAAGGTCATGACTAATTTTGCCTGGTGTTGGGCTCTTAAAGGGTAGTAATAAAGGCAAAGCAAAACATCTTCCCTGTAGCCAGCAGAAATGATCAGCTTGTTCATGCTTAGATACTCTCCCTTTCATTTCTTCCAGGGAAGCAAGGAGAAACTGCTTCAAAGACCCATCTCCATTATCATCTGAATGCCTTGCAGAAAGTTTAAATTCCAACCTGGTATATTTCTCAATTTCTACAATTGCATTTGATGATCAAAACAGCAATGTGCTATTTATTGCACCTTCTGTACTAAAACCTGTTTCTTGAAATAGATGCGTAGCTTTTGAAAAACAATTTAGGTTAACTAATGATTAGCTTGTATCTGGCCCAAGGTATTTAGAAATTCTTCCTGCTGTGTAGCAAAAATGCTATTCAAAGCATTTTATCAGAAATTTACAAAATATGCTTGATTTTGCTCTATTAATCTGGAAATCAGTAGTGAATCAATTTGTTAAAGAAGAACTTAAAGTACTTGATTCATTGCAGTTGCTTTGTTTATAGCATTGTGGCCTGATCTAAAGTCCACTGAAATTATAGGAGGCTTTTCAATTACTCCAATGGGATCAGGTAAATAATGCATTACTTGTAGAGCATCAGAGGTAAGTCTGGAGGGACTGAAAACTACTATCCCATTCAGCTCCCTGAAAGTGTGTTTTAAATCATTCCAGACTTGCTTACATTTACACACCAGTAATAACTGAGTAAAACTGAATGTATAGTACTGTTGGGATCTTGACTCTCAGGCTTCCAACATACAGAATTACATGGTGCCACAAAGGCCACTTTCCCTTTCACTAAATCAGACAGTGTATCAGTATGAAATATTCTGGCCAGAGACTAAAATATTTTGATCACAATGCAGCTGCAGTGGCTCATGCCATTCCTGTTCTTTTCAGTAGACTGCAGTTACTTGACATCTAAATGAGGAATGATGGTGCATTGTGGCAGTCATACCTGAGAAGATGCTAGCCATGTGGAAAAACTGCCTTCAACCTGCAGGGTACCTCAGGGTTCCCTGTAAGTATTAGTGTGACTGGTTTTGCAGTGTTCCAGAGCAAGTGCTTTCAGATCAGTTTTATATTTTTACTGAAAAGTCCTACAAAACCAAGCTCACAAAAACTGTCAATGGCACTGAATGAAAACTAGGCCTCAGGAAGCTTTCTACTGGACATTCATTCTAGGAGTCTGATTCATATCCCATTGCTTCATTAGATGTTAGCTCAAGCCCCGAAGGGAAGAGGCTTTCTGGCTAAGCTGGCACCTGTTAATGTGTCATGAGCACAGGTGTGCAGCGTCCATATGCACATGGTCAGGTTTGTGGTAGCCCTTTTGGTTGGGTGGGCTGGACCTTGAGCACACGGACGTAGGCTTGGAGACATGTATGCTCCTGTCCCTTGTGTATCCTATTCAAGGGAATTGCTCTGGTGAAACTGTGTCCACACATTCACTCACATCTGTTCATAGAGCATAGTCATCTTCTGAGAGGTTTTAGTCTGTGGCCAGAGATAGGAAAGGCTATGCTGTATGAGTAAGTGTGAAAGGATATGAACTGAAAAATGAAAAATAAATACTGTCCAAGTCAAGTCACTGCATGGAAGGAGCTCTCCTAAACAGGGTGGTCCTGTAACATTGGTAACAGTTGCTTACCTTGACCCACCACTGTGGCACTAAGTTTGGTCCAGCATGGGCATGGCTCTTGTGCGGAGGGGACATCTATGCCAACAAAGACAGCCTTCAAATAGGGGCTGAAATATCCGGGTCTGATCACAAATCTGAATCAGAACTGTAAAGGTATGTGTACACTGAGAATAGTTTATATTTTTATTTTTCAGTAAAGGAAGAACAAAAACGAGTCCGAACCAGTCCACACTTTGGATTTCAAAGACCCCTAGGAAGGACAGTAGCATGGAGGTATAATGATTTACTGACTGAAAGCAAAGCAAAAATAACATTTTGCAGTCGGGCTGTATTATAATGTCGTCTGAGAACATTAGCTTGGAATGGCTTGAAAATGCAAAGGATCTACAAGAATGAACTGTAAGCTCCCCCTTGAGGCAAATGTTCAGATCATTTTTATATAATGTTTGATTATTAATTCAGTAACAAAATATGCCATGCTAAATAAAGGGTATGTGTTTATTTTGCTAAGAGATGTAAGTCAGCTAGTTGTGAGTAATGAATTGAAAACGCATTTGAAATTTTTATGAGGACATATCTACAATGTATATCAATTTTAAGATAGATTGTTTGTAGTTAAACAAAACCTTCTTGTTTTCTTTAATCTCCTATGCATTGTAACCTAGTTGATGTACTGTACATGAAACTGACAATTTTGCAGTGTAACAATTATTTATCTTTGCATAAATGTTTGATACAAAATATTTGTTTAGTATTTATTTGCACACTTATGACAGTTTTTGATCCTCAGGCACAAATTACTTTTGTATACATAAATTATGCTTGCTGGCAGATACTTCTGCCATATTGCAACATTCATCAGCTATGACAAAATTCAAGGATTCAAAAGTGGTTTAATCTTATAGTGAATCTACTTTATCAGGGAGTGACCACCATATCTTCTTGATGTATTGGTCCAAGGTCAACATAAATCACTTGGCAAATGATAAAACAATAATGAAGTACCTTTGAATACAGTTCTTTTTACACTGGTTAAGCAAAATATTTTTAACTTTTTCTGAGAGAAAATACAAATTTCAGTAACCCAGTGGGCAAGAGTTTAAGAACAGAATTAGTTGTTTCAGTAAATCTATGTAGAGAAGACTTTAAAGATTATTTAAATATGGTTAATAGTTTTTTAGGAATAATGGATCAAAAGGAAGACAAATGGCTTTTCTTGGAAACAGCACTAAGAGATTGATCCCAGCTTTAATGAGGCTTAGCTAGAAGAGTGTTAATTATGTTAATTGGTAGATCTAGAGGTAACACTGATGCATTTAAAGTCCTTTATAAAAAAATATTACTAATATCATTAATGTTCATTCTCTTTGATGCCTTAAGAGCTTTCTGTGCTATTAGGATGACATCTCAGGGTGCTAGCAAAAGCACTCTAGCTGATTTGTTGGTGACAGTCTGGTGCTGTTTAAGAAAGGCTAACGGGTTTTACTGCAGTTTGCAGCAAGAGTTCAAAAGCACAAGTTCAAGTTTGTCAGGCTTTCCATTAATAGAAATGCTGGGTGGGAGCTGGGGAAGCTGGATAGAAGTGAGAGCATATTACAGTTTGTGAAGCCTGCACTGTGATTGCTGATATTGACTATAGCTTCTGAAATTCATGGACAAATGTGTATCAATTTTTCTGAGTAAAGAAAAAAAATAATTTAAGTTCCAAAGCACTAATACTAGTTGTGCAATGCTATCATTGCAACTCTTTTGGAGGCATCTTAAATTTGAAGTTATGCCATGTTTTTATTTCCTCTTTGAAGAAGCTGCCTCCTGTAGTTCAGGTCAAGCATTGCCATTCTTTCTTGCACTATTCTGTAGATTTTGTTTATTCACAACTTCCTTTATAATGATTAAAAATAAAACAAAAAATACTATGGTCCTGCATGATCATCAAGACCAGGGTTGTTTTTCTTTCCATGACCTAAATGATGCTTAACTCACCTGAGGGCAAGAGCTTCATCTTCCTTGGGAATGTTTGGGGTAATCACAACTGGATCTTTATGAATTAACTCCTTCAAGAAAATAGGGGACGAAAGAGTGATGTTTAACCTAAAACTACAGAGCTGCCATCTCTTCATACTTTGTACTTCCAAATGACACTTGGCAGTCAATACTGTGATTGGTGCAGCGGAAGTGACAGGAGTCATTTCCATGCTGCAGTCAGGAGACACCTTCAGATGTCTTTCCAAAGGGGCAAAGGTGATTGCTGGGCATTTATCAGTGCCGGCCAATCTTAAATTGTGTGAAAGAGGAATTGAAAATGGCATGCTATGGTTTAGTTATAATGAACTTAGATTTCACATATCAATAAGAAATACTGATTATTGGACAAAATATTTCTATATCATTTCACCAGTCTAAGAAGAAGGAATCTGTTTCCTTTCTTGTATTTTGTTTGCCTAGTATTGAGTTTCTAGATACCAGGTAAAATCAAAACAGTCTTAGAGTCCTCTGTAAAAGATAGTGCAGACAATAAACTGTGCAGTCTTACATCAGTTAGTTCCACCTTTAAGGTGGTGTTTATTTTGCATGCACAACCAATAAATCCCATATGTACACAAATTATTTCATATTTATTTCCCTAGTTTTGCATTCCTAAGGGAGATAGGTGTAATAGTAAGAGAGGAAAGGAGAAAAAAAAAAAAGTGTTTCACATTTGCAGATAGAACATGTAGAACTTTATGCAAAATTCCTTTGGATTTTTGGTGGGCTTAGATAATCCAGGAAAGCAGATTTTTATGTGACATAGTACATTAGTGAAAACAGATTTGCTATTTAAAAAAAACCACAAATAACAACAAACACAAAAAAAGCTAAAAACTTTGTCCTTCATATTCATGAAGGACATTAAATTCTACAAACATTAAATTCATGCTACATTAAGTTCTACAAACTGGTGGAAGGAACAATTTCAGGTGACAGATTTCATCAACCACAGCTACTTCAAAGCAGCTTGTCAACTACAGGCAGCTATGGGTCAGCTCATGCTGACCACATTCTTGCTACTACCCTTAATCTCACAAATTGATGCAGGAGGTGTGAGGCAAGGAACTGACGAAGAAGAGTAAAGGTATAACTAGGTCTCAAATGGACATCATGACTTCAATTTGGCATTCTAAAAAACATTGTACTTCTTGCCTCCATTCCCCATTTTTCTCAAGAAATGTAATTTTTTCTTTTTTTCCATAGTGATTCTGGCCTTTTGCAAGTAAATAGCATTGCAGATAGAAAGCTCTTGTTGCTTCCTTCAGTCCTTTAATCTTTTCAGGTGCAAGTGTAAATCAGTATCAAGTTCCCATACCCTATTTTAAAATATCTCAGACCTTTAACTCAAATAAAAAATTATCCATGCTGCCCACATGTATTAACATATTAATGGCTGATTTCAACACAGGCTAATATGGGACAGGCATGCTATAGTAATGGATGCAATGGATGAATGAAGGCTATAATGTGCTTGGCAAAGGTTATCCTGATATAAGTTGAAATAAAGTCTTTATTTTTAATTATACTATCTAGTGTATGTTACATATACGCTTCTGGATAGAAGTTTACAATCAGAAATTTTTTAGTCCAGTGTGATAGTTTATTAATGTATATCTCAAAATCTATGCTTTGCATTTTGAGAAGCAAAAAATACACATAAATGAAAGGATATTACTGTATTTCTGGGAACCAGATCTTCTAGTAACTGAATCTGCTTTGATTTGGCTTTTGTATTTCATTAGCAGAATGAAATGCCATTTACAACAGTGATGTATTGTAAATATTACTGAATTCATGTCACATTTTAATTAAGTATTTTAATGTAATTGCTTCATCCACATCAATTTATACTTGATAGCAGAATGCACTTTATTTTCATTGGCTTTTTTCCAATGAAAGAGATGAATAGGAGAAAAAAGTCTACTACTGAAGATAAGGTTAGCAGCTCTGAAATGTTAATCAAATAGTTTAGAAACGAATTCAGAATAAAATGAAATATCTTTAGTTAACTTGCAACAATGGCACTGTGTAGTTTGTATGAAAGAGTCTAAGATACTTTTTGTCTGCTCTCTGGCTTGATTACATCTGTCTGACTTATGGACACAGATATATTGATGGAACTGCACATTTTGGTCTGGACCTAATTCCTTGACATTTATGATGACCAAAGGACATTTTTTCTCAGTGACCATCAACCTGTGTTTGTAAGCTTGCCTTGTATTCTGAGCACTTCATATCTGCATTTAACATTGTGAATAACAAGTATGGAAGCTCCTTACAAAAATCATACATCTATGAGTACATGTGTAGATACATATGTGCAGTAAATTAAAATGCATTTTGTGTTTTCATGTATACTGTAGAATGAAAAAAACATTAAATTACTATACAATCTATAAGCAGAAATAAAGGACATATATCATATTACACTAACATTAAAACACCATTGAATTTAAGGTATTTCAATAAGAATTATTATAATAGAACTGCTTTTCTTTTGTTTGTTTTTACATATTTTATACCATTTGGACTTCTGTTAATGGGCATCAGGATAGAATCTACACAAAACACAAAATCATTATAGAGAAAGCATAAAATATCAAATGAACCCTAATTACATTTTATTCACCGTGAATGACCGATCCTCATTATTGTCAGTTGTTAAACCATATATATGAGGGGAAGTGTAGTATTGCATGTTTCTACAAAGGTCCATGCAAGTATATATCTATAATTATTTGAATAATTACCAGAAGGTTTGCATGAAAGAAAAACTGAAAAGCAAACAAATTACACCAGAGATAATTTTTATGATCCATTCAGTTTGCTTGTTATAAAGCAGCATGATACATGATCAACAATTATTCACAATCTACAAACTTCATTTTAGAGCTTTTTGTAACAGGCAAGATAGGAGAACTCTCATGAGCCCAGTTTCAGATAACATATACCTTCATTTTGATATGTGGCAATTACTGAGAAGAATTGACTGTGCATTGAAATGAAAATGCACATTGGGAAATGTACTGTAAAATCATAAAAATAATTCACATTTATCCTGAAATTAACAATTTTTCTGACAATTTATCCCCAAATTAACAATTTAGACCATTTTTCATAAAGCATTTGTGGCTTTAAAAATCCTTCCTCCCTCCCTCTCCTTCTTTCCTTCTTTCTGCCCTTCTTCTTTCCTTCCTTCTTGCCACACTTTACAAAACCCTAACTACACATTTAATACAGTGATGTTCATATAGACTGTTTTCCCATACCATGGACTAATGGCTGATTTACCTCTTACATAAAGCAAACAGTAAACTGCTAAAACTATTAACAAAAGCATAGAATCTATCTCATTTGAAATATTCCTCTCAATTGATAAGGAAAGGAATTTTTAGTTGTCAATGTTTTCCTTTCCTAAATTTGAAACCAGACTGCAATTTGAATCATTACTTTTTT